TGGCTGATTTCCATTTTCTACAATGAATATAGGTTCTATAATCAATCCATACAGTGATATTTTCAAATTTGAGCATTAGCATCTGGGAAAGAGATCTTAATTCCTTAAGATGTGGGTAACGTGAGCTCTACTTTGTAAAGCAAAAATAGTGAAATCAAAGTAAGACTTCTTATAATTTTCTATTTGCTCCTACTAAGGGCTCATAATCAGTGACTTCACCAGCCAGTTATTAATGTGCTTTCTGACATCTCATCAACTCCGTTTTATAGATGTCAAGAATTTTATTTTCCCAAGAGTATTTGTCTTTGTTCTTTTAGATTAATTTATTGAATGTGAATGAAAGAATACTTTTGTAATAAAGTAAAAGGCTTCAAACCAGTAAGTTAATGTCAAGTATTATAACTTACATTTTAGAACGATTTAGAACTAATTAATGTCAGAAAATATCACATTATATGGTGTGTTTCAAATGTCCATTGTAGAAAATCAGCATGAATACACACTATATTAAGTTCACTGCTAGAAGTCTAAATTATCCTTCGCCATGTCAGGCCTCTTTCCCCCCTTTTTACCTGTCCTTTCTCTCCTGTTCCCTCGGGTAAGTGCTAATTGGTTTTATAGTCTAAAACTTTAATCCTGTTTTAATAAATTCATCTGATTTGTATTTTCCTTTTCACACCATATATGAGTGAAATCATACAGTATTTTTTTTTTTGATCTGGCTTATTTTACTAAGTATAATCCCTCTAGATCCACCTATGCAGTTGCAAAAAGCAGGTTTCCATTTTTTTTGTTGTTGTTGCTCAATAGTGTTCCATTGTGTGTGTGTGTGTGTGTGTGTGTGTGTGTGTCTGACACTAGAAAGAGAGATATCACAACTTATTTCTCCATCTGTCAATCGATGGATAGTTTCCAGTTCTTGGCTATTGTAAATAATATTACAATAACTATGGGAGCACATTTATCTTTTTGAATCAGTGTTGGAGGGCAAATATCAAGAAGTAAAATTATGGAGTCATTCAAAATTTCTGTACAGAATTTTCTGTATCATTTAAGTTTCGAAATGCAATTTAGAATTTAATATTAGGAAATATCTACCCTTAGATTATTTCAAGAAAAACTTTGTAAGGACATTTGAATTCCAGAAATAAACAGTCAGTTTCAATAAACATACAGCTTATAGCACAATGAAAATCAAAATATTGCACAATTCTATTTGTCAAGGATGCTGAGTCTGGCAATGTGAATTACATAAGGCTGTCAAGCATGTGGAGAGTCAGAGAATTTCAACTTAAAGGTTTAATTTGATATCATAAACACAGAAAAATTTAGTTTAATGCACTTTTCCATAAAATTGCTTGATTAGAATATCTTAAAATATTTTTGAAAATGATTTCAGATTTATAATTTGCAGAAAATGAATAGAACAAATGTACACCTTTGATTTTACAACATTTCATCTCATTTGTGCTATCATTTTTGTATCTCCTTTCTTTAGTTATGTGTGAATATAGAGAAATCTCCACTGTCTAGTTAATGAATTTAGGGAATTAAAATATTGATCCAATACTTGTGTCAAATCTAGTCTTTGCATCCCAGTTTTATCAATTAGATAGACCTAGTTAATAAATTTAATAGCATTTCTCCCTCCTAATGAGGAGTCAAGGTTAGGGGTAAGCATTGCATTTGTTTGCCACGTTTCTTTAGAGCCCTTTAATATGGAACATCTTCACAGCCTATCTTTATGGTGCTAACATTGTAGAGGAATACAAATCCCAACCCATTTTATTAAATGCAGTGTTCCTCATTTTGGGTTTAGCTGGTGTTTCTAATTAACTTCACTTTCTTCCCTATTGGCTAAAATAATGTATAAGTGTTACATGTTGCTTTCATGGAATCACACCAAATCACCTGACATCCTCTGGACTCCAGTAAAGTTTCTAATTCTGGGCCCTCCCTGGTGGCGCAGTGGGTTAAAGCACAGCACTGAGAAGCTAAAGCCACGTCAGCACGAGTTTGATTCCCGCCTGCCCCGGAGGTGACCACATGGCGCGGCAGACCTCTCCTGGCCCGCCCGTTGCTCCCCTCAGCAGTGTACTTTGTAGATCTGCCTGTTCTGTTCCCCACTCTGTCTGTGGTGAAGCCTCTCACCGCCCCTGAGCCTCCGGCCTGTACCCTAGTTCTGTATGAACAAATAAATAAATCTTTAAAAAAAAAAAAAGATTCTAATTCTGATCATCTGGCTGAGATGATGTTAGTTTTCTGTAATGCATCATCACTATTCTTTTGCTTGTAACCAATCTACAATGTGTGAGGTCACACTTTAAGATCATGCAAATATTCTAGTCCATGAAACTTCCCTTTGTGAGCATCTATGAGCAGGTCTTATCTCACCCAATCTCGGTCATGTTTACAAACTGCTCATCTTCTGTTTCTAGCACTTTCTACACCTTTACCAATCAGCGCTAGCGACTCTGATGTAAGCAACAGCCTTTCCTTCCCCCATTCACTTGTCTGGTGGTCTGTGTGTTGGTAATATAAACTACGGATGTTTTTATTCCCTAAAAGTCTATAAGGCATCACTACCCTTAATTCTTTTGATACTCAAATTCTTCTAGACTCAGCCAATGGGACAGTCTTACACTTGGCTCCTGTATCCTTCTGACATGAGTCCATCATTTCCTATATAGTACCCCTTCTCAGTAGCAAGCTGTTTCATGTTCCTCTTGCATACACGATCCTCTCCCCAAATTAGCTGCCTCTTTGAGAAGCTCTGAACGAAGATAGTACAGAGGGACCAAACGGAAATTTTAAACTGAACAATGGGCTCCAAAGATTTACAGACCCTAATCCCTGACCCTTGAGACTATTATTTTAAATTTCCAAAAAGAAATTTTGATGTAGTGATTGTGTTAGGGATCTTGAGGTGAGGCTATACTTCTGAATCACCCTGGTGGGTCTTAAATCCAAATTTAAATATACTTATCAGAGAAAAGCAGAAAAATGACCCAAGAAGAAGAGGCAGTGTGACAACTGAAACATCATGCTGCTTATTGGCTTTGAAGACTTGCAAGCCAGGGAATGCATAGGATGCGACTCGAGAAGCTGAGTGGTGGAAGGAAACCCTTCTAGAGCTTCAGAGGGAGTGAAGACCTGCAGCACCTAAATTGCAGCTGGGTGAAACTGATTTTGTTCAGACAGTGGAAATCAGTCCCTAAACTACACCGAACATTAGCAAGCTCTTCTCTGCGTCTAGAGCTTCACATACATATACACATGACATGCGTTCTCATAAACACATGTCATAGCCTCCAGTCTCTGGTTCTCTATCTGTCCGATCGGTGTTCCATCCCCTTGTCTCCCTCCCTTTATAAAGTCAACTGGGTGTCCCATCCCTTGCCACCACCCCCAACTCCAGTGTGTCCTAATTAATTAGAGGAAAGTCTAAGACGGAAGCTTGACAATGAGAAACAACTACCAATTTTCTTGCAGATGGGCAGCATGACTGTACAGACACAGCTTCAGTAAAGCCTTATCCCTCCCACAAAGCAGATTCTAGAACCAGCCCTGTTCCTAGAGATAGCAAAGCTGTCAGTTAATTTACGGGTTTCTTCTTTCCAAAGGGTTTTGGAATTCTATATAATATTTAGAGTGACAGAAAAAGTAATGCAAATTATGGATATTTGTCTCTCCTGTTTCAGTAGTGGGGCAGTCACTTGTGAGAAAAGAAAGAGAAATGCCTTTTTTCTCTGTGGAATTATGCTGTAATTTAGCTAAGGCCCAATTCCATAAAAACACCCACTGGAGACACTGCCTAAAAGACTTTCTTGCAAAATTATATATTTTTTGTAAACCATAGTTTTTTTCACAAATGGCATGATCACTAATAGAAACGATTATTGATGACTTTCATTAAGTGTGAAATAAAAACAAAATTACAGTTGACTAGTTACAATGTGTAAAGCCTAAGGTTATATAAAGCAATGCCACTTTATCACAAATACATCATTAACAATTAAACTCTCTTCCTCTTTTCACTTAAGTTTAAAACTTGGACTTTTGACAAAATTTGAGATGTTATGTTATGATTAGAAGATCATCTGACTTATTAAATGATTCTTTAAAAAATATTTATTTACTTATGAGTGCAGAACTGGGATAAAGGCCAATGGTAGGGGAGGAGGGATGAAAGGATTCACCTGATACAGGGTGGGGAGCAGAACAGGTGGATCTACTGAAACACATTGCTGAGGGAAGCAGCAGGTGGATCAGCAGACGTCTGCTGCACCATGTGGGTTACTTCCATGGCCAGAGATTGAACTCGTGTGCAGTGGCTGCTGATAGCTTCGTAGTGCTGTGTTTTAGCCTGTTGCACCACCAGGGAAGACCCACTTAGGGAATTATTTTAAGTAAACTCCTTTAAAATGTCCTTCATATCTTTACCCAAGACACATTGGTGTGAGCCAGGGAAGAGGGAGGCTGGAAAGAAAGAGGAAGAAACGTACAAACGTGAAAAAGCCCTTGTCCAAAAATATTAACATGGACAGACCAAATTTTTATATAAATGTTAATTTTTTTAAAAGATTTATTTATTTGTTCATACAGAACTGGGGTACAGGGGAGGCTCAGGGAAGGCGAGAAGATTCACCAGAGACAGCGGGGAGCAGAACAGGCAGACTGGCGAAGTACACTGCTGAGGGGAGCAACGGGCGGTCAGGAGAGGTCTGCCACGCCATGTGGGTCACCTCCGGGGCAGGCGGGAATCGAACTCATGCGGAAGTGGCTTTAGCTTTTCAGTGCTGTGCCTTAACCCGCTGCGCCACCAGGGAGGGCCATAAATGTTAACTCTTAAAGCATAAAGGTTTGCCAGTTCAACCTCCACGTGGATCATAGCTGTTGTACAGCTTTTACTTGAAAGGAACGATAAACACGTGAGAACCAGTTCTGCAGAGCAGCCATGGAGAGGAGCTTAAGAAAATCGATGTCTTTTCTCTCCCCAGGATTGACATCTTTAAGTACGTGATCTACGGCATTGCAGCTGCATTCTTTGTGTACGGCATCTTGCTGATGGTGGAAGGTTTCTTCACGACTGGTGCCATCAAAGATCTCTATGGGGACTTCAAAATCACCACTTGCGGCAGATGCGTGAGCGCCTGGGTATGTTATTTGTCTGTGTTCAGCATTTAATGTGGGTTTATTTCAATAGCACACAGGTGTTTGTATTCATCATGCAAGAATTAAAGTATTTTTATTTAACACGGGCACAGTCCCTCCTGCGATGGCTATCTTAAATGTTAACGACCCTGTTTCCTAAATTTAGATGATTCCATGTAAAAAAGTCAGTTTCAAATTCTTAAAGCATGCCTCACAAGTGATTTTGTTCCTTGAGGCAGCAACACTGTCACTTGGTTTACTTTAATTTTTTTCCAAAGGGCTTTGAGGCCCCACAAAATATGTACAATAATAGAAAAAAAATCATATTTGATTTATGAACATTATCGCTCCCTCTTTCTCTTTCCTCTCTAACATCTCTGTGTACTACTGTAAATCGTAAGATCAATATCAAGTAATTTTTTATTCATATAAGAAAGGGATTATGCTACCTTAGGTCTAAAATCCTTATTGATATGCTGTTTAATGGCAAATCAAGCTTAAAGTCATATTGCAGAGATAATGCAGACAATTACTTCTCCCCAAGTGGAGAAGTACTTTTGTATTTTTATGCATAGTACTCTTCCTTTAATGAAACTTTGGAGCTTTCGTACGTGATTAATATGTTTTTTTCCCTTAATTTTCTAATGTTGAAAAGTATGTGTATTTTTTATATATGTATACAAGAATTGGGGTACAGTCCTGAGATGTGGGAGTTTGGGGGCGAGAGAATTCACCAGAGACAGGGTAGGGAACAGAACTGGCAGTTTGAAATACACTGTTGAGGGGAACAGCAGGGAGACAGGAGAGGTCTGCCCCACCATGTGAGTCAGCTCCATACAGGGGATCGAACTCGTGCCGCAGGGGCTGCCGATAATTTCATAGTGCTGCGCTTTAATCCCTTGTGCCACCAGGGAGGGCCAAAAAAGTACATGTATTTAATTATAGGATATACTTCACATGAAGTCAAATTTCTCAGATAAGTAATAAGATATGTCATGTCAGTCTTACAAAAAAATGTTAATACCTGTTAATCACCAAACTTTTTTTTTTTTTTGCTAACTTGTAACGATGTCTATTATGCTACTCAGTGGTAGTCTTTAAAATAATTTTCAGAAGACTCTCTTCTTTTTAGGGATATGCTTATTCTAGTACCCTACTTTTGCATGAGGATCATCAAATTCCAGATCTGGAGAAAATAAATCAAAGGTTTTACCTTTAGAAAATAAAAAAAAAAAAGAATTTGCAGTGGCCAATTGTCAGTGATGCCTAAGCTGTTTCTCTGTTTGAGAAAACAAGTTCTGATTTTAGATTCATCTATGTTCTGCCAGTGGAGACTAGTGCATTCAGGTAGTGACTTTTATTTTTTTTATAAAACTAGGACAGTATAATAGGACACCACTGTGTATCTTAGTGGGTCATTAAATTCCCCAGACCTCCCTTTACCTGTCCACAAATGAAGGGTCATCAGGGCGTGATTCTAGAGCACCAGAGAAAGGACAGCTCCTATGTCATTTCTACCTTTGGCCAAGAGGAAAGCAGCTGAGGATGTGATTTCACCCCAATGTGTAAACTTCCTCCATAGGATTCTGAAGTGAAAAGTCACAAAAGAACCCTCATATTTAGGTGTAGTTTTTTTTTTTTTTAATATTTATTTGCGCATACAGAACTGGGTACAGGCCAAAGATACAGGGACGGTGAGAGGCTTCACCAGAGACAGAGTGGGGAGCAGAACAGGCAGAT